CGAGCTCCAGTGATAGAGACTCGAGACCGACTCGCCGGGCCTACATTGTTCACTTTTATCTGAGAGTAAGAGTCGCCTCGATTCTGGCCTCGTTGAGGCACAATTGCATCCTGAATGAATCCTGTGCAGTCTTGTCTTCAGCAACTTGCAATGCTACCTTTTCCGGTTCGAATCCCACTCGAGTGGTGGCGACTTGTGCCGAATTGTGCTGGTCAGACTTTTGTTGTCGCGTGTTCTCCCAGCCTCGCCACGCCGATTGGGTCAATGACCAGACGCAGTCGTCGTCAGCATCGTCAGCATCGTCAGAAGCGTAGAGACATTGGCGAGGCCTGAGGCCATTTCGATAGGGTGAAAGGAGGCCTCGATGAAAATGACCATATTTGGATGTGAGACTAATTGCCGTCAACTTCTGTCACCAATTTTTGGTCATACTAAAAGACTAGTGAGCATCGACAATTGGAGATATTTGTCTAAAATCGAGGCTATACGCTGCACTACAGCACCCCTGGATCGAGTCCCGCTGGGGGTGCTGATGAGGCAAGCTGAGGGGAGGCCGAAAATCAAGTCCACCAGAGCCGAGATGAGAATGCTTTTTGGGAAGCAGGGCCAAGTGTAAAATTCAATGGAAATCTGAAGCATATTCAACTGCTTGTGGAAGAATGTAACCTCGAATCATTCATCAATTTGGACGAAAACTCAATCATGAAACGGCTGTTGACTGGCCTTATTTTGTTCAATCTGAGGCAATCTCTTTTGATTTCGATGCAAATGTGCAGAATGAATATGATCGGAACAGGTGATATTTCTTAAGATCACAGACAAGCTGACAATTTTGCTTGCCGGACGAACGCTTAACATGTTTTCACCGAGATCGAAACAGCGTCAACTAGAATGTATCTTCTACCACAGCCAATCGGCAATCGGCAGAAGCAAATATGAATTTCAAGCACATTCAGGCATCTTGTCATATCACATTTTCTGTTGCGATTGTGGGTGAATGAAAGTTGTCTTGCCATTACAATTGACCTTTCTTTCAGTTTATAGGCAGATTTGCGTTTTGGGGAAAGCAAGGCTCTGTGCTCACCAGCCTCCATCTGCTGGTCGTGGGGAAATTCAACTATCATTCTTCCAGCCACTTAACGAGATTGGCTGAATCGGAGATATGAAATCCCCAACAGTCTGGCCCCCGGTATGGTCGCAGTCCCCTCTCGATGTATACAAGCGAGTTGACTTCGTTTTCGCAACTTAGTCTTGTTGTCGTCAGGGCGATTTATATGGACGCACCTTGTCCAAAGTTGTTTGTTTTTCGAATTGAGTATTCTTTCGTGATTACCAGTATATCAGTAGTATGAAATGTATTTACCTAATTTCGTTTAAGTTGATGAAGGACTGGTAGAAGAAGAATTTTCCCACAATCATATGA